GACTCTGCCTGTTCGTTCCTTCTGCCTGAACCCGCACCCGTGACAAGTATATCTCTGTGGCCATCGGGACTACCGGGAGATTCCCGCTGGGCCGACGTGCTTTTCAGCCAATACATTTCATCCTTTTTTAATTTATTTGTCTTAACGGCCCAAAAAACTCATACATCGGCGGCCCATTTGTTTGTTGTTTGTTTTTTTGCTTAATTGGCGGCGCTGTGTTGGTGTAATGCATTGGTCAAAAAAAGTCAGCTTTAGTTTTTTTTTTCTGACACACTGGCCCATGAAACATGTCATTATGCGCTTATATCTTTCAAGTACAGAAATTAGTGCAAAACTAATTATGAAAGTTTCCTTTATTTTTCTGTGTATTTGTTTTACAATAGCCTTTATGGCTATTACTATCATGGGATTAGAGCCCGTTTGGGATTAATATTATAACTATTATTATGTAGTAGTGTAATGTAGACAGACACTAACTAAAAGAGGTTCAATTTTTCTTTGTTTAATTTGCACCCTGAATATGGGTTGGAGCTTTTAATTTTGAACTCTCAAAGTGCACCAGACTGCTGAATTTAACATTACAGAACACAAAATTTTCTTACGGGGGAGCATGCCCCCCAACCCCCTAGAGAAATAGAGGTCCACCTACCACAGTTTTACCAAAAATCCTGTGAGAAACACTGGTATTGCTGTTCCAATGGAGCTTATAATTTTCTGCAGGGGGGTTCATCAAGGTGGAGTAGCTATAGTTTAATTGTGTTAATAAACAACAATTTTGCACTTATTTTTTCTGTTAGCTCGCATTTCTTCCTACTCACTTATTACACAGCACACTTGCATTAAATTTATTTTTCCTTTTTTTTTTATTGGGGGGGGGGGCACTAAAATTGTTGCTGCATACCCCTCTGAAACTGGGTAGTTGCGCCCCTGGTCAGACCAGACCAATTCAGCACGGATCATTCATCATTAACATAGGAGCTGGACCTAATGTGATTCAGTCAACTTTAGGTAAGGATTGCTTTCAAACATAAAGCAATTATTGTGTAAAATATCTTCCGCTGCTTATCAATGCCCATACTACGAGATTGGTGTGATTGGTGTACAGGTCATCATAGGTCTTCATCTAAACCAAAATGTATAACACACATTGTATATACCTATGCTTAGCCTATAACAGTGATTAAAGTTAGCGTGTGGCTTGGTAATGAACATATTATAATTATTTTGTGTAGGACCAGGCCTATGCACTTTTTAACAAAGCTCAGTTATGTTATTTATCGCATCTGAGTAGGCTACAAGTATAAAGTTGTTGAGAGAAATAAAATAAGAAAAAATCAAGATAAAGCGCTCTGGTGTGTTAGTTCCATATTACTTTTAAAATACCAGTAAAAACTAGTTACAAACATTATCAACATGTATTTTAGACTATTTCCTCAACAATTCATATTACATTTACCAGTATTTAATGCAAAACAAGAATGAAAACTATAAGTGTAAAGCAAACATAAATTAGTGCCATTCATTAACCCACAAACAACAATGGAAACAATGCAGAGAAGTTTGAAGAGTTTGCAGAGAAGGCTGATCAATGTGCCGGCAGCGGATCTTTTACTCCGTGACATGACGTTAGCAGAATATATTGCAGAAGTAAACGCATGTAGGCAGCATGAACAAGTACAACATTAAACATCTTTGCATTATTATTTAATAGAATGTATTTCATTATAGCCTAAGCCTACAATAAATTATTATCTTCAGTTAGGCCTACTGATATAATCTTTGTTTTATTTACATTTTTTTATGGAAGCTAAGTACTACGTTAAATAGTCTTCATTTTTTTATTTTTGTAGTAAAAATCACTAATCTACATAGTGGACAGACATGGTACAGTAACTGTTCTGACGAGACTTTCTTATCACATTAAAGAGCATTTCATGCATTTTAAATACATTACATTTAAAGTTTTATGGAAAACATAAAATTCCCCTTATTTTATGTTTCTATATCAACCACTTTGTGACTTGATCAGATTAAAATGTATTTATCCTTGTTGTTAATATTGTTGCAGCCAGTTCCAGTTATCAGGCTCCACTTACTTGTAGTGGAGGCAGACAAGCGCCCCATTAGAACCTCACCAGAGAGCAACTTCCTTTTCTTTCCTCGTGTGGTTTTTCTTAGTTCAATACCTGAGATTCTGCAAGTGACTTTGGCTACAGTCAAACAATGCATAAAGTAAGTTACATCAAGATGTAGGCAAATTTCGTTTTAAACTATTTGATGCACATGAAGTGAGCATTGTATTTACATTTATTCATTTGCATTTAACTCATGCATTTCTTTTTAATTCATGCATTCCCTGGGTATCAAACTTGCATTTCTGTAGTGCCATGCTCTACTACTTGAGCTACAAGAACATCTTTAGAATTATCTTGATAATAAACAAGTTATGTTTGAATTGTTTGTTTCAGGAAGTTCAATTTGAATTGGTCTGTGACATATTCTGATGTAACTGATGCCCTCGATGACATGATCAAAGACATTGTGGCTGGGAATGACCAGCTTGGGTCTGAGGCTGTCAGGGCACAGTTACGAGCAGGTGGAGTACGGGTGCAGAGACAGAGCGAGAAAGACTTTAATACCAATCAACCCCAGTGCTGCAGCTCTAAGAGCAATGTCACAAAGAGCACATTGGTGATTGTACAGTGTAGCTGGACCAAACTCCTTTTGGCACCTTGATGGCAACCACAAATTGATAAGGTAGATATACAGGTTACATGGTTCTGCTTTTTTGTATTATACATGTTACTTTTAATAAAGTGTGTAAATTATGTAAGGGTTAATGCCCGACGAGGTGTCCATTGTCAGGTTTTAATGGACGACGGCGAGGCGTAAACCAGCCGACGCACAGCGGAGGACGGTTGCCTCCGCCGAAGTCCATTAAAACCTGACAATGGACACCTCGGAGGGCATTAACCCGCTTATACCATGGTCACTTGCCAAATAAAACATTAGTTTATATTTTAATTAGGCTAAATCTAGTTTTTACAAATAATAACTTGCCTTGCCTGCCTGACTGTTTATTTAGCAACCGGAGATATATATAGTCCGCTTAGCTCGTATCCCTTCAGGTTCACAAATGCATTTTTTTTTTTTTCATGAAACACAAAGGTAGGCATAGTTTTTTTTTAGTTTTTTTTTATTACTCATAAAACAATTAATCAAACAACAATAAAAAAAACAATTAGCTCTGAGCTCCAGCGATTTGCGCTTAACGTTATAGAGGGCAATAAATTAATCAGATCAAAGAGAGGGTAATTTGCCTCAGGCTCCTTAGGCTTGAAACGCTGTAACGTTCAGCCTTCTCCTGCCTTGGTTGTCTGGACAGCAGCGTAAAACTCCCGCAGGGTCTCATTCAGGGGTGCGTTTCCCGAAAGCATCGTTATCCAACTATGGTCGCAAGTTACGTCGTTACCAATAGAGTTCAATGGAGCAGAGCAGCAGCGGTGTAATTTTCTCCGTTTTATTTACATTTTTTCTTTCTTCAGCAGCATACCAGTCGTCAAAGTTGCCATATTCTCCATAAATGTTAAAAGAAATAGCACGAAGTCGCTCATTGTTGTATTAGGCTATAATATCTAACGTTAGATGATAGAGCATGTGAGTCTGTTGCTATGGTTACTCACAGCCGTTGTAGGCAGCGCATTTATTTATTAATTTCGAATGGTAAACAGGCAGTTTCACCAGAACTACTTTACTAGGTGTCCTCTATCACTTTTTAACGGACACCCTGCAGCCAATCAGAATCGAGTATTCACCCAGACCATGGTATAAAAAAAGTATTCATGAACTTCCCATTAAGAAAATATTTGAAATAGGAAGATGTAATGTATATATATATTTTTTGTTCTTAACGTATTGTATTATAATAGTGTTTCTCTGTTATGTTTTAGATGGAGAATTGTCATTCATGGTGGTATAAATGGATACAGTCGCCTCTGTCTTCCTCCATGCCTCAAACAACAACCGGAGCAGCACTGTAATGGATTGCTTTTTGAATGCTGTGGCCAGATATGGAGTGCCTTCCAGGGTCAGAACAGATCATGGTATCACAATAATGATGTCTGTGTGATGAACATTTTCAGGGGCTCAGACAGAGGCAGTGCCATCATAGGCAGGAGCACTCATAACCAGCGTATTGAGAGGCTCTGGGGCGACATGTGGCGGGGATTGACTAATGTCTATTATAACCTCTTCCACTTCCTTGAGAGTGAAGGTATAGTGGACATTGACAATGAAATGCATCATCATTATGTCTACTTAACACAGATAACAGGGACTTGACAGCATTCATTCAACAATGGAACAACCATGGCCTGAGAACTGAAAGACATCAGTCCCCAATACAGATTTTTGTCCGAGGCTGCCTGGGACAACAAGGACATAGAACCACAGTGATGCAAGAAATCAGTGGCAGAACAGCTGGGCCAGCAGATTTAATTGTTGTTCACGGACCATCTGAACAAGGAGAAACGACATCAAGAATGCAGGGGGCAGCAAATTTTGACTGGCCAGACGGAGTGCCAGTACCACAGAATCACTACACAGTGAATAACACAACCTTGGAGCAACTTGTTGCACAATTTAATCCACTTGGTGGAGCACAAGCAGAACTTGGATTAGACATAATTCGCAATGTTTTGTCTTTTTTGACATTTTAAAATCAATCGTAAGAAAAGGACGAGTTAATCCTAATAAAGAACTTAAGACTGCATGTTATGGTTGACTTTCATTCAATGGACAAAACAGCGCTAACCTTTTAAGTTTGATTAGATTATGGTCCAATATACATGTTTTCATCCTCTTTTATATTCGTATTCATGATTTATGCATTCTTGATACGAATCCGTGTTGACACCAAAAACATTATACAAACATCCACCTTTTTGTGTGTATGAAATTGTCACATTTTTACATTTCTATGGACCCAAATAATTGCTGCTCACGGCTGACTTTAATAGTCATTATTTAAGGTCATGTGACTTAATGTTAGTCTTCTGAAATAAAAGTGCCCAGTTCTCACACCAAGTGTGTTTTCTAATTTACTTAATCTTTGACCAAACAAATTTAGATCTTGACCCAAAATATTTACCAGAACTTTTATCATTTTTGTTTAAAGATTTAGATGTTTGCAAAACATTAGTCAAGCTTTTGTTGAATGACCATAAGCATTTATTACTGTAATACAATTACACCAGAATAAAACCCCTCTCAACAACAGTTACAACCCCTCTCTTTCATCTGACATCAGGATGAGTAAATTATCAGCAAACATTATGAAAGTAAACCGATCCTTTAGAAAGGTGACGCTTATACCTTCCCAAATCCGAGAGATCCTTTTATTGCAAGGAACATTAATTCCTTGAATTCCTCTTCTTCTAACACACCTCTTGGTAGGTAGAGAGTCAGCACAGGTTGAAGCATAAGGAATTCTTCTGGTTGGCTCCTCTTGGTCATAAAATTCCACTTGGCACTTTTGCTGAAACCCCAGTGGAGGGACAGAATCTGCTGCAGTTACAAACACTAGGAACTCCTCAAAGGATATGCCCACATCTTCTTCTGTTTAAGTTTGCAAAACAGAAAATGTAAAAGGCAAGAAGCAAAATCTAATTACATAACAAAACAGTGTGCAGTTAAAGAAACACTTACCTTGAATCAACATTAGCCAGCATTCCCAGAGGAAGACAGTCTCCTCTTCAAGGTCTCCCCTGTTGCTCCCTGGTGAACTCCAGACAATGTTGAAGAGGTCTCTGACTTCATTTCTTGTTAGGGCACCTCTAGTGTTGGTAAACAAGGGGAGGAAAGCTTTCCAATTATTAAGCACTACCTCCCACAACCGGCCACAGGAGTTCAGCCCAGAAGTGAACTGCTGGATAATACTTGCCACTCTGAACAGAAAAAAAGTAATAATAAGACTTACAAAATCACTGTTGTAAAGTCAACTATTATTTACAATACAAAGAGTCAAAGCAGCATCTCAGTAATAAACCTGATACCTTTAAATATTAAAAAAGGTGATGATCCTGATCTTAATAGGAGACCAGAGATAAACAGTACAAGGTGATACAAAATATCTTCTTTTGTTTTTGTTAAAAGAAGCCGAAAATCCATTAACTCGAAAGGCCGCCATAGTTATTTACATCTCAATGCATTCTGGTAGTAGTGACGTATATAGGTTGTAAATGGTTGTAGCAGCTTTGTTTGTTTTTTCAACGTACAGACTAGCTAGCTAAGTTGACAGTTGCAAAATGAGCCTTTTTGTTTGAACCCCGAGCGTAACGTAGGCTTAAATCAGGAGAATCACATGGAAGACAATAGGCCTGTTTTGATAATATTTAGATATTCAACAGGATGAGTAATCGCAAGGTATAATCATTAGTATATTATTAATATAATATACTAATATGAAATAAATGCTTGTTAAAATAAGTCTTTTTCATTCAATGAAAGCATGTCAAATTTACAAAAAGACTATTGTTAAATGGAAAAATCTCATCCACATTCACTACTTCCTAACATTTAGGGATTTAATGACCTGACATATGCATGTATGGAACAACATGTCCACTCTAAATATAGACATTACTTTACAATGGCAGAGACCCAACATCTTTTTAGGAGACATTTGAGGCAGCTAGAAGTTACTGTAAGTGTTATTTATTTACCTGTGATAGATGAAGTGGGTCACTAACTGCCCATAAATTGTGGGCAGATTACTCAAGGAGGCTGTGAAAATGTTGGGTACCCCACAGTCGCAAATCCAGTCCCCCAGGGAGTTTTTAAGCTCCGTCAGCTCCTCTGGAGAGCTGCACCCAACAACCTAAAATCATAGGAACACATGTGGACTTGATGAATAGTGGTTAGTGAAAAACATTGTTCTCCTTAAATGAGCACATAGCTACATTATGTGGCATGTAAAATTACTTAACTTACCTTTGCCAGCTTTTCTGCAAGGTCATTTTCCAGGAAATTAGTATGATCAAATGTGGTGAGGTCTGGTTTCTGGCCACACATAATCATGAAAAGCTCCTTGTTAATGCACTTAATGCCTGGTCCATTGTGAATTATGGACCAGGCCATTAGATCTGCTGTATAAAATTTATTTTCAGCTAGAGCCTTTTGATCGTAGCTGAAGAGCAGCAGTCCAGGTTTGCCCTCAAAAATCCCAAGGTTGCTTTGGAGCTCAATCATGAGGAGTCTAAGAAAAAAAAGGTTAAGATACTGTAGCCTAAAACAATGTTACAAAAGTCTGTGAACACCTTAGGCCTGGGATTTTGAAACAATCATAAAACCTTAACATTTTATGATAAGTTTGCGTTGATATAAAACAAATTAAATGAATTATCTAATACATTTACATAATTTTGTACGTAATGTTTTTCATTCAATACAATTATGTACCCATCAAATTTATATCACTGTATTCAAGATACCGGAAAAAATAGATATTTCTAAAGCATCTGAGCTGAAAGTGTTCCTGTAGCTCGATTAGTATTGCATTATCAGCACAAAGGTTCAATTGGGATAAATTCACAGGTAACGCCCGTTTCACACATACTCCGTTTGCAGTGCGTATGCGGTGAGTGTTGCGGTGCGTATCCGGTACAGGAGCCGCACGCGCTAAAGTGCTTTCACATATGCTGCGTTTGCATTGCGTGAGCTGTACCACAAACACTCGCTATTTTTATTTCAAAATCAGAAGTTATGCAGCAATAGTGTGACCAGTGACCAACAGTCCTGTTATTGGTTTTCAAAAAAAAAACAAAAAAAAAACGCTGTAAAAGATCAGCTTTATAGCAAAATATAGGAGATGAGCAGACAAGGAGGATGAGGAGGAAAAACAGGATAAAGAGGAAGGAAACTAGTTCTTTTTGT